TCCCACAATGCCCAGGGTAGAGCAATGCTCCCATAGAAATGCCAGCTGTGACCTTCAATCAGAGGGTTGCGGTCCCTTCCCCTCCCTCCGCTCACTACGCTGAGTGCATGCTCAACTCCGCGGACCCCGCAGTTCAGAGAACACGCGCCCTACGTCAAGAGTGGTTCCCAGTGCCCTTGCCCGAAGTTAACCGGGGTGCAGTCTTCCTCCATGAACTCACTCCTGGTGCGCTGCCTTCCACCTCTAAATTCAAATCTCACGTAATTCGCCCCAAAGAAAAAACCCCGCTCCGCCGAGGAAGAGCCACTGAAGAGACTCCCGAGGCAGTGCGGGGCACACCTTCTCTGCACTTGTGCACAGACGTCTTGTTTGCAAACAGCGTGCAATCCGCTGCGCGCCGCACGGCTCAAGGGGGAGACACGTGCAGCCACCAAAACAGCGGTTCCTATCGTTTCTCCTTTGCTTACAGAGAAAAAGACTCCAATCCTCTCCCTAACCCCCACGGAGCCATGCGCCCCAAACTCCTTCCCACGCCCCTTCTCCCGGACACCAGCCCTCCAATGTCCTGGACGCGTCTGCCCGCTCCGAGAGGGGCCGCGCTCTAAGTTCATATGTTTGAATAGTTCAGAAAAAACAGGCTGAAATTGGACTTACATGGAACCCGTCCATGGTAACCGCTTGCTCTACAGGAGCGCCCATAGCACCCAAGTTCTTGAGACCACTTTGCTATCTGCCGCCGCAGCCAACGGACTGAAGTTTCTGGCCAAAGCTGGACTTTTATAAACACACGCTCGCGGGCGGCGCATGCGCTTCAAGGGTGGGCGGGGCGGGGCCGAGAGGAGGAAGGCGGGGTAGGGGTGGGGGAAGAGGGGTAGCTAAGCCCAGGATGGGGCGAGGTGGGGACGAGGAGTATGAATTCGGGCGGCCCCGTGGGGGTAAGCGTTGGAAGCCCCTGATCTGCTGCTGTTTGCTCGCTGCCACCTCGTGAGTCTCCGGTTGGAGAGGGCACCCCATCCCGGAGGCATCCCCCAACTTGGGAAGGCGGGATGGGCCTGCAGAGAGGTGGGAAGCGCGGGCGATCGACTTGTCCCTGTGTGGCTCATATATTTTTGTTCACGTGGATGAAATTCCAGACCAGGAATGCTACAAATGGAGACACTGAGGCCCAGAGAGAAGTGACTCGCCACAGTTACCCACCAGTAGGCGGCAATGCTGGTAGTGGGTCCAGCATCTGACTCCATTCCCTCCTCTTACAGCAGATGCAGTCCATTCAGAAAATAAAATAAGCACAGATTATCTTTTCAGAGCACAACTGTATATAACTAGACATCTACACTCGCAGCAACAGTACCGGGTCGGATGTAGACAATCGGGAAATACTTTCAGAAGAAAGGATGATTTCGCATAATTTTGGAGGGAGACTGTGACATGCATATGCTTCTAATAAGAGAAATAATACTTTTTGTAACAGAACGCAAGGCCCCCATGCGGAGGAAACAAGAAGCAGGTTCTCGGAGATGCAATGCCCGAGCTGGACGAGGATTCCTGGCTGGGCTGGAACCCAGATTTCCGGACTCCGCATCCAGCTTCTTCCACGGCTCTACCCAGAGGACCAGCGTTTAAAATTAGGTTGAGGAGCTGGGCAGGGTGGAGTGGGGGTCGGGGCTGGACGTGTGGGGAGTCCCAGATGGGTTGGGGTTTGCAGTGGGCGCCTAGACAGTGCTTTCCAGCCTCGCACACCTCCCGCGGGCGGCGCGGAGTCTGGGTGGGGCGGGATGAGGGGGGGCGAGGGGCGGCCGAGGGGGGGGGGGTGCGCGGGGAGTGAGGGCGGGGCCGAGAAACAGCGCGGCTGCTGGAGCTGAGACCGCAGGAGTGAAAGCGGCGACCCGCCGAGGTGTGAGCGGCAGCTGGCAGCAGCGCCTGCTCTGCGATGCGGACCCCTCACCCAGGACTGCCCTAAGCAGAGGACGGGACCCTAAACGCCACCCCCCCCCCGTTTTCTTCCAGATAAACCTTCTCAGTGTGAAGGTGTTCCAGAGACGGGGAACCTTTCCTCTACAGACCGCAATTTTCCTCTTTTCTCTGGGTCCCGCATGGGATGTTTGTGGGTGCAGGTCCTCCTCTACTAGAAAGCTGATTTTGGGGTCAGTAGGTGGGATCGCAGAAACAGCCAATTTAAGGCACAATAAGGACATAAAAATCAATTATAATGTTACATTGTGCAGATTTTTTTTTTAAAAAAAAACACACGTTAAAAAGCGCTTTTACTTGTATTAAGTCGTTAATAAAACGTCAGGATTTTCACAAACCAGGCAGGATAGGCATCCTATCCGTTGAAGGACCAGAACTTCAGACAGGGTCCATGACTTGCTTTTCATGACGCTTGGTAGTTGGTGGCAAATTCAAAGTTTTGACCCAGTATGTTGGCTGCACTGTACCTCCAACGCTTCTCTTCACTGTGGCTGAACTTTGAAATCCCCGCCCCTCACACCCTCTCCGGGCCACACCCAGACTCTGCGCCCACGGGAGGTGGTGCGAGGCTGGAAAGCACTGTCCTGGCGCCCACTGCAAACCCCTACCGGTCTGAATGCCCCGCCCCGACCCCCACTCCTCCCTGCCCAGCTCTTCAACTTAATCTCAACGCTAGTCCTGCACAATAAATATTTGATTGTTTGTAGGCAAAAGAAAGCTCCTTCCTTTATCAAAGGACTCCTTTAGATCCTTTTATGTTTTCATTTAAAAATTTTTTTGAATTGATTTTTTTTAAAGAGGAAGGGAGACGGAGAAAAAGAAACATGGGTATGAGAGCAGAACATCCATTCGCTGCCTTCTGCATGCTTCTGCATGGACACTGACTAGGAATCAACAAGCAACCTTTTGGGGCAGGGAAGGATGCCCAATCAACTGAGCGAGCCACACCGGCCAGGGCCCTTTAGATCATTTTTAAAGGAAGCAGATAATTGAGAGAACAAGGAAATGCTATTTGATGACTATCAAATTAGGTAAAAAAGTTTTCAGAGATTTGATAAGATCAACTGTCTCTTCCTGTGGCTGGTGGGAATGTGGGTTTGGAATTCTCCCCGAGGAGCACTTTGTATTCAGCAGGAACCTTAGAACAGTATTTCCACCTATAGAAACTTATCCTAAGGAAATTGAATTTATGCCACAAAGGTATTCATGGAAGCATTACCTATAATAGTGAAATTTCTGAACAGCCCTAAATGTTCCCTGTCAGTGGAGTAGCTAAGAAGATTTTGGTACATCTATGTGGAATTCCATGTGGCTATTGAAAGGATGTTTGTGAAAAGGAATTTTTAATAACAGGGAGAAAGATCGTGAAACAGATGCAAAAAGCAGAAGTTAAAACTGTGCATATAGTGTGATCTGTTATGTTAAAATGTGTGTGAGGAAAAGATTGGGAGGAAAACCAAAGTGTTTATGGGAGTTTTCGTTGGGTGCAGAATTATATTTGTTTTTTAATTTCTTCCTTGCATTTTTCTGTGCTTTCCAAATTTTCTATAGTAGACATAAAACATTTTCATGTTGAGAAAATGCCAATAAATAAGGTAAAAGGAAAATAGAATGCCTCCTTTTGCATACCTTTCTGCTTTCTAAAGTATTCACTAGATAATGATGACATTTTCCACAACAGTTCTCTTTCCAAGGAATGGTCTTCCTTTATTTTCCCCTGGGCCAATCCTACCAAAACTTCTTTCTTAAATACTCCATGATGTTCTTGAAAACAAAACAAAACTCATACACTTACTGAGCGTTTGTAATGTGTAGCCAACATCATCCTCAACCACGCAACAAGGCAGTAGCACCTCTACCTCCTGGGCTAGGAAACGGAGGTGCAGAGGTGATTAGGAACTCGGCTGTGATCACACAGTGAGGACCTGCACCCAGTCTACCTGCTTTCTCTGACTGCTGCGATTCACCATTTGAAAGCTCCCTCCTCTGACAGGGCACTTGGCATTTATTCACATGCTACTTGGAGTGGCATCTCTGGTGATGTTATTATTATTATTATTTTTTTAATGAGTGTAGCCCTGGCTGGTGTGGCTCAATTAGTTGAGTGTCCTCCCATGCACCAGGAGGTTGTGGGTTGAATTCCCCAGTCAGGGCATGTGCCCCAGTTGTAGGCTAGATCCCCAGTAGGGGGCGTACAGGAGGCAGCAAATTGATGTATCTCTCTGACATTGATGTTTCTCTCTCTCTCCCTCCCTCTCACTACCTCTCTTTCTAAAATCAATAAATACATATAAAAATTTTTTTAAATGAATGTATGTCTTTTCTTCTCCTCCCCAAATATTGTAGGTTCCTTAAAGTGAATGCTCAGATATCCAATATGCAGCTAGCCTGCTGATGAACAAATATCAGGCTCTCTAATCCTTTACTGAACCTTAATTTAATGAATTAATGACTTTCCTGTGTGGCTTTGGCAACAGGGCCCATAGGTTAGGGGCTGTCAGGCTTTGGCAGGGTCCCCAGGTTCTCACGCTGGCGTTAGCCCAGGGAATAACTAGCTTTGGCCATAGTTTGGAAGGGATGCTTCCAAATCCAGTGACACAGTGGCAAGCAATCTGCCACCTCCTGTTGCTCGCTCTGCAGCTGGTTGATTTGTGTGTGAATGTGTATGTGTATGACAGAAAGCTGTACTCTGTCCCCAAACAGGCTCGAAGCCAGTCGAGGAGAAAGCTTAGGGACAGACTTCCTCCTGATGGTAGATGGCAGGAGGCAGTGGCATTAAAGGCCTTCTGAACGTACCAAGTCTCTCTGTCCCTCCTCTGTCTCTTAAAAGGAAAATATCTATTTTGTTTGTTTGTTTCTGAAAGGGGAAAAAACTTCCTTAATGGCAGTAGGGGATACTCAAAGGGACAAAATTAATGTATTCCCAAGTGATAAAAAAAAGGAGCTATTTCCCAAGGTCGTATAATTCTAGCAAAAGGCTACAAATCTCAGAGAGACAATGCTATCGAATGTCAACTATTTCTAAGCTGGTATTAGGTGGGAGAAATGGTGCCCCTCCCCACTGTACCTGGCTCACTCCTCCTCCCTCAATTCCTTCTGTCTCCAACACCAACAAGTAAAAATGACTGGAAAATAAACCGAAGCTTTCCGTTTTGCAGCTATAAGACCAATTTTGAAAAATAATTACTGTTTTTCTGGGTACCTAAATCTGCCATATCCTGAATTTTGCAAAGATCTGACTTTACTAAAATGAGATTATTAAAATTTCTTATACAGAGAGAAAGGCTAGGCTGGTAAACGCATACAGCCTATTTAGAGTTACCCTGGTAAGACATTTTAACAAGTCGGTCACTTAATTAACCATGCAATTATCGTTACTTGACTAATTCCCCTGCCAGGAGGATGCATTTCTCCCAGCGTTCTCTGTGCCCGTGTGGTTAGCATGGTGTTGGCTTTGCGGGTGTGACTTTGCAGATGTGATGAACAACAATAAACAGACTCAATATTATTGCTTCAGAAATGATGGTGTCAAGCTGGGAAGAGGGCATGACTTTAGGAAATAATTGAGTGAGCAAACTGTGTTCTCCCTGGAAAAGGCTTGTCATTGTTTTCCTTAAACTAGTAATTTATTGGCGGTGACCTCAGGCAGCTATATAACAAGAGGAAGTGCCCAGAGCCCCATGGACAGTCTGCTTTCTAAAGAGAACTATGCATCCCATGGCAGCGTCAGGGTGTTTCCGGAAATGCAGTGATCTGATCATCCATGAGATTTTGCTGACATCATTCCACCCAGAGCTTTATATTAGCAGAAGGACAGAGGGGCAATTGTGTGTGTGTGTGTGTGTGTGTGTGTGTGTGTGTGTGTGGTAGGTAGGGACCCATCCATGCAGTGGTATTCTAGCATGAATAATTTTCTAAATCCAAAGCCATGATTTTGCCCTTTGAGCTACTTGTAGGTCTAAGGCACAAATGACAAACTCTAAAAACCTAAAGGTATTGTAAATGAACGAGGCGATAGGGAGTGGTGGGGACTGTGGAGAACTGGAGGGTGCACGCCCTTGTCTAAGGGAACAGTCAGTACTCTTGATAGCCCTATGTGAGAATTTGGGCCTGATCTTCCAATTTTTAAAGAGAAGCTGAAAGTCCTGATTTTTTCATGAGAAATTTCTCAAATTTAAAGTGTTGATTCAAAACAAACCAGCAAGCAAACAAGCCAACAAACAAAACTCTATAAGCTTCCAGTTTACACTGGCCTAAGGTGCTGGCACTAGGAACCAAAAGATAGATTGGGGAGTTGGGTGACTTGGAAGGAAGGAAGGGACAGATACAGATATCCATAAGGGCAGCAATGGAAGTAGCCAGAACTTGCCTCAGAATACTTCTGGGGTGGCCTCAGCACCAGAATTTGTTCATCACTCCAAGACTGAAATGAATCACTTTGGATTTCCTGAGTTGATCCTCTCTTGTGGCTCCCAACTGTACTCAGGCTAGTATTTGGGACCCTCAAGAGAATTAACTTCCCTGTGTCTCTATCTTCCTTCAACTCAGGCTCTCAGTCTTCTTGGCTACCTTGATGCATGAGTACTGGGCTGTTATTTCTTTCAACTATTGTAGGACAACATCGTTGGGAGGAGGGACCTTCCTCCCTCATCTCTTTAAACAGGAAGACCCACAGTAGGAAGGAGGATCTCTAGCTGAACTGCGTGGCTGAGTGGATCAGATCATGGGGCTTCAGAGCCAGTTCATATAGGTTCTTGAGTGCTGACTGTACACATCTCTTCCAACTTCAGAATCTGGGGCAGCACACTGGTTGCTTAAAATGGACCACGGTGGGAATATTCACACCAGGGGACATGCAAATGCTATAAATCAGGGCTAATTTTTTTTTTCTGAGAGCTGGTTTACTAGAACACAATTTACCAGTCTAGATCCTGGGCAAGTCTAGATCCTAAGTCTGTTTTGTGTTTTGTGTTTTTTTTTTTTTTTTTTTGTGTGTGTGTGTGTGTGTGTGTGTGTGTGTGTGTGTTTAAGCTGTAATACCCAGATAATAATAGCATTTTACTTTGTGGATTGTTGGAAAGATTAAATAGGATAGTGCATGAAGTCTTTAGTGCAGCATGGGACACATAGTATGTGCTCAGTAAACATTACCTATTATTAATACAGGCTCATACATATCTCAGCTGCTGAAATGTCTTTCTTGTCAGTGAAAGGCTTAGATTAAACAGGCAAATGGCTTTCTCCACTGTTACCCACAAAAG